CTATTTTTGAATAAGCACTTAATTGATAATGCAGCATTTATTCCAACAAGTACAGGGTGCAGGAGACCAACAAACACACGCATGGACACAAACAGGACAGTGTAGAGTTACCAGTTCATCTAAAAAGCATGTCTTTGGACTGTGAGAAGAGTAGAACAGTCATGGAGGAGAATAAATTAATACAAAGGATACTTTTTATTATTAAAGAAAAGCACAAAAGAAGGAAATGTATAGTTTGGAATAATCATCAATATTACGAGTATTCAACTATTTGGCAAGCCTATATCCAGGAATAATCCCCAAATTCCCCTAGGTTCACTGTAGAAGGAAAGAATACCAATAATTGACATTTTCATAATACTACCCAGTGAGGATTATTGTCATAATTTTCATGACGTTAAAGATTAATGGAAAACTGAGACAAACAAAAGAGAGGTTGAGTTACATTAGAGGAACTCTGAAATTAAACACATGAATGTTTCTACTGACAAAAGACATTAGGTCTACAGGCTTCAGGCGATGATCATCAGTACAATACTGTCAAAACCAAGAGTGCATAACTTAAACTTTACTCTTAGAAAAAAAACAGGAAGACAATTTTTAGAAAATGACTTTTCAGTGTTCTCATAATACAATTTTTTTGGGCAAGCAAGATGTCTGACAAACACTTAAGCAGTTTTTAAGTCACATCGTTAACATTGCCTGCCAATAGAAAACAACGTGTCTCATTACTTAAAAATAAATAACACCAATCTCTGTGAGTTTCTTTGGTAAAGTAGTGATTATCAAGTAAAGAATTGGTGAACTTAGTCAACAATGCGTGGAATGCTTCTACAAGTCTGTATGAATAAGTGAAGAGACAGAAACCAAAAATCTGTTTTCATATGGCAAATTTGTTGTGGTTATGCAATAAATCTGTCACATAAATGTTACATGTAGTGCACATGTCATGCATTAGATTAACACACGCCCAAGACAGGACATTAAACAATCAAAATCATTCCTACAGTCAAGCATTACGCTGGAAGCAAGAAACTGTGGAGACAATGATCCTCTAAAGAGACGCATACAACGTTTACACAAAGTTACATTTCTTTCAGATTCAGTTATTCAAATGACTGATTAAGTATATTTTAGAATACACCAAATTTGAAATACATATACCGAAACTGAACCTATCTATAAGAACTTTAACTGTTTTACAATAATAGATATTAGTGAAATTCGTTGTGTTCCATGTACCATGATTACGTCCTGGGTTTCATTTAACTTTCTCTTTCAGAACATAAATCTTTTAATCATTGCTGCTTAGCTATCACTAGCAGATGTTTATTCTTTTTTTTATTGATAAACTGCCAGCTTTCAACAAATGCAGGTATATCATTTAAGCATAATGGGGGCCAATATAAGTATTGAACAATATATCTATGTATCAGAAAGGTGAAATTTCAATTCTGGAACATAAGGTTTCTAATTTCATTCATAACAAGCACAACATGTATGAATATGTCTTTAGTATAACATACATTCCATAACCGCTTATCCAGTTAAGGGTTGTAGGGAGCCTGAAATATTTCCCAGAATGCAATAGACACAAGGCAGAGGTTCACAGTGGGCTGGATGCTGGTCCATTACAGGCAGCTGAGAGACACCAGTCTACCTGACCAAAACTCTGTGGACTGTGGGTGGAAACCCTACTACTCAGAGCAAACCCACACAAACATAAGGAGAAGATGCCAAGTCCAAACTAGGGTTAGGAAAAATAAACAAACAAACATGTGAGGCGGCAATATTAACCAACGGACCACCATGCTACCGTTCAGAAAAGTATTTCACCATAATAAATGGTGAATTAAGTGAGTATTAAACTGATTTAAAACGTGTGCCCTAACTTACTTTGATTAAATGCATTACTCTACAGCTCTGAGCGCAAGACCCGGCTACACGAGTGCAAGAATCGGCGCTTTACCAGCTACCATAAGCTGAAAAACACAGAAGAATAGAGACAAGAAAAATCAACTAACGGCACATATATGGCCTGTGGAACTGGACTTCATAGTACAGCTTGTGATTTTTTTTGTCATTATATGCAACCAGTGCTTTGATCCGTACTGTTAATGTGACGTGCTGGTTCAATAAGACACAGCAGCTGGTGATAAGAGGCCACAAGCAGCCACAGAGGAAGGTCCACGGGCAGCAGTGTCCTGCTTGGTGGAGCTTCTCAGCAGAACCGGCTGCTCACACACCGGGCTGCTGCCTGCGGTCAGTTTAGCAACGACGGCTCGCCTGTTCTGCACTTCAAGTTAATTCATATTACAATCGCGGAGTTTGGCTTTTCCTGTAGCAGTGCCTTCTGTTAATATTCCCTTAGCTGTCATTACTCATTAGACATTTCAGCTGCCTGGGTACTTCAGCTCAAGGCAGAATTCAGAGAATCTCCACTCTTTTCACGTTACTGAAGTCTCCCTGGCAGCCACGCATCCATGATTTCACATCGGCAGGCCCGCCCCCTCTTTAATAGATGACTTAACCATGCTCGGAAGCCCAGAAGCTAATAAAAACGTGCCTCATAAATTATCTGCCTAATTTATTCATCAATTTCAATATTATTGGTGTGGTCTAAGTTATTTCAGCATTTGTTTTTTTGGTCAAGCTATAAATTGCTTCTATATTCTGTACCTTTTAATTTTTAGTCAGAAAGTGTCTATTAAACATAAATAACTTGTGAAACAAAAAATAAAAAAGAAAATGCAGTAAATCAAGGCATCAGGTGTTAATTTCATCAAAAGTATATTTTACTGAATTTTAATAAATGTTCAATACCAGAGAACCTAATATATTATTACATAGTTTCATAAATTATTTGTTGGTTTTGGTTGTTTTTTTTTATGTAAATATATATTTTGCATTTTACATGAAAGTATAACAAAAGAAACTTCTGCGTGCAAATTTACTGTGACATTCGAATGGCTCAGTAAAAGCATCTGTCAGCGTAAACTGCATTCCTTTCCAAAAGTTTCATATTGGAAAACAAAGTAAATTGTATGCAGACAAACCACAGCTGTGCAGTTAATAGCACAATTATTATAGCTAATATATGAATAAACAAACTATTAAAATACTTAAACTGTGTATTCCTGCTTTCTCTAACATTCTATTAACTTTTTAAGCTTAAAACTAATGAGCATATAGAGATAAATATACTAAGCACATTTATTGGTCCACAATTGTACATATAAATATTTTATAAATTGAGTAAGAGAGCTGATGAAATGTAGGTCAGGTGATTTAAGTACAACAAAAGTAAAATGTGTTCACAAAGTACCTCAGTGTTACCAATATCCCCGTCATGTGAAATATGGCTTCAGCTCAATGAGTGCATTACACATTCATCACACTTAACACTGCATATGGTGACAGACAGCACATATTTTTACTTAGATGTTTGAAGGCACAAGCCTTCACAGCTGTAATACCTCTACAGTATGAACTGTAAGCGCTGCAGTCAGCTTCACCAATTTGACCCTCACGTTTATCTCAGACCTCAGTGGTCTGGTAGTCAGCATTGGTACTAAATGTTTACACTATTTTTTTCTCTCAGCATCTTTACTTCTTGCCCCATTTTTGCATTTTTTTTTTACTTCAAGCTCAAACTGCATTCATGCAATTTTATCTCATTGTAAAAATTCCTGCATGCAGTAATCAAAATCAGAATTACAATAGTTACATTTTTATTATTTACATTTTAAATATAATAATTTACGTTTTAAATACAGTCCAATCTGTTGATATCGACTTCACAGCAAACCTACCACGCACAATAAAATAACTCTAATAAAAATATGACTTCTGTACCACTAAAAGGTCTAACAAGAGCTGCTGTTGTTTATTTAAATATTGGACCTGGACTCCCAATAACGGTAAGCTGCAGTCACTGGAATGTTGCACGTATACTGTTCTTCCTATGCTGTTCAAATGTGACTTTCACGTTTCCATTTAAATTTTACACAGACTAATAAGCATGATCAGTTTTATGCTTCAGGCTTTGTCCCCTGAATAACAGTTTGCAACTATTAAGCATTAGTACCAGGACAAGTAGTCCGAAGATTACCTATTTGATCCAGAACTTGCAGATTTAAGTATTTATTACTTACGTACAACGTGCTGCTAACGACTGTAACACAGGAATCCTACCAGAAGATTTCTTGGCTATATTGAAGTTTTTCATATTGTACATACAAGACAGGATTAGATGGACTCACAGTAGATAATATACGCAATCTACACCACTGTTAACACAAATCAAATGTATGCATATCTAGACATGAGAGCATTAAATTATTTGTATAGTTTATTTATTATTATTGTTGTTAATAATAATAATAATCATCATCATCATCATCCTCGTCATCATAATCATTATTTGGTTCTTCTAAAAGCAAGATGAAATTGTAGTGTTTGCTTAAAAAAAACTTTCAGATTTTGAACCTAATTTACGTCTTGTTGAAAATCTTGTTTTTCATGTTGTCCGTTTCATTCCATGAGCAGGAACAATAACAGGGTACAGCAGTGTGTGTAATTAACATTCTTGACGCTTTCGAGATGCTTGTTCACTTTTATCAAATAACAAGATGTATAATCTATCTTATGCATAACACAAAGCAGAGCTATAACTAAACGCGCAGTACTGTATACGAAATTCCCTTAGGAACTGTGTTGCGTACGGAACTAAATGAACGGTGCGTGTGTTTTGCTGAGGCTGAAATTCAGCGGGGAAACATCCGGCTCGGACCCGCTCGTACACGCCTTATAGCGTGTGATGAATTCTTTAAAGACACATATACGCCTTCATTATTTGTGCATTCGAAATCCAATACAATTACCGACGAAAGCACAGAGACTGCATTTAATAATTAAACAACGAATAATTATATTTTGCCCAACTGCTGAAAAAATACAAGTAAAGCTGATCATGTTCTAGCTTTTTTTTAATAACTTACCCGCTGATCCACCGGCAATGATCTGGTGTGACGCCTCTCGTAGTAAACTTTGTTTTTGAGGATGCATTTTATTCGTATTTCAGCAACTACAAAACAAGAAGGGTTATCATGAGGAGGCCAAAGTCGAGAATAACTTCACGATCGGCATTTCTTAAAAAGTCAAGTACAACAGTTGCTTAGTGGCTGAAATTTTCTATTTCAGGGATACTGTTAATTCAAGTTACATTGTAGCTCTGTCGAAGTGGAGTATCTTTTCAGCGTATTCATATTATATTTAAATCCCGTTTTGTGACAGCGGGTATTTACCTCCGTGTTTTTCCCGTTTAACCAAGGCTACCTGTCTGTTTCGGCTGCATCTGTAATCACTTGCAAACGGGGTTAGACTGATAGGTGACGGAACATATTTTGTTGCAGCCTGGTCAGCGGTTATATATTCAGCAGCGTAACTACGGCCTGTGCTGCCGTCGTGTCTTGCGAGTCCAGGCGTTGCATCATCTGCCAGTAAACAATGTGTTTTTTACCTAGACAATTGTGGTCGGTGAAGTTTTCATACAGTCGGTATCTGCAGTGTGAAAGTGTTTCTCTAAGACTCGGCGTAAGAGCAAACCGGCCGTATAACCACACGTGTCCCGCCGTCCATTAAACACTGAAATTTACTGCTTAAAAACACCTCAAATATAAAACAGCAAATATAAAGTTAAAAACACCTCCGCCTTATCGTATCCTATAAAGTTTTATCGCTTTTGTCATTAGTAAACTGAAAGCTTTGCTTTTCTTGGTATTTTCATCTCGCATCTTTGTTGTGATTGCTGGTCGCGATGTGGTTCAGTAAGTAGCCGTAACACAAAGTAAATGTAAGTTATACTCACTCCCAGATATATCGCTCATTTTAAAATACAGAACCACATGTAAAATATGTTATTAAGACAATGTAGTCTTAATAAAATTTGAGACCATGTTTAAATTTAACGGTGTGGTATTTTGTTTTAATGCATGTGATAGGATCCCGAACAACACGACGGTAATCTGTGGTTTGTATGCATTTGTCTGTCATGGGCTGCAATACATCGGTTTTAGCTGAGGAGTTACCTTTTCTCGTGAGTTACACCTGAAACTCAGATTACTTTAGCATCTGGGGAGCCGAACATGTACAGTTCTAAAAACCCTTATGAACTTTGGAAACCTGTCGTTTTTTATAATTTTGCTAAAATAATAAACCCGTAAATACACAAATGTTTGAATTGATCTCCATAATAACCAGCATTATCCAGATATGTCCGACACAATCTGGAATAACCAGATTTGACTGGATTGCAGAAACCACACCCAGCAGAAAGAAATCCCAGTGAAGCCCACTGAGCGGGAAGGGGAGCGTGCCATTGTACAGTGTACACAAACACTCACTGGAACCCACTGCCCTAGAGTAGGCACATGGATACTCCCTGTTTTAAAAATGTGCTATTAATTTGAAAGAAATGTATAAAATAAGTAATTTGTATAGGCTGCTGTGTAACCTCTTTATTTCAGATGTTTACATTATTAATCATTAATTTTCATTTATATATATATATATATATATATATATATATATATATATATATACACACACACATATGATGCACCCTGCCATTCAGTGTCCTGTTATTTGTTCAGTAGTGTTTTACTGCTCTGAAAAAGTGCATAGCTGTACATTCAAATAATGTGATCTAACAAGGTTCTCCTGGAGAACGGGCCAGGATGAAAGTCAGAGAAGACAGTGAATCCTGGGTCTGTTTTGTTGGCTTTACAACTAATTGTGACATTTAATAATTTTAATGTTAACAAAAGGGACTTCCTATTGAACTTTAACATAATGTTCTTTCATATTGGTCAGCAGTTAATACAACACTCAAAAACGTTCAAACTTTCCAGCAGAATACAGCGAATACCTTACAGTAAAGATGTACATGTTACACTGAGAGGCAGAAACATTATGGTCGGGTGACGAGATAATCCATGTCAGAGAGGACACTTTGAGCCACTTTAGGTTTTACAAACTACTTTAAATGGCATTTAAATGGCATTACACATGCTTATACTTCCTTATGGAACGCAGAACAACTTACAGCAATGTTTCCTCATTTCTGTTTTGCTAAAACCTCAAAGAATTTTGACTTACAGTGGGTTACTGTACATCTGCAGCACTGCAATTTACAGTTGTGTACATGATTACTTTATGGGGTGGTGCAGTGGTTAGCACTGTTGCCTCACACCTTTGGGACCTGCGTTCAAGTCTCTACCGTGGCTCCATGTGTGTGGAGTTTGCATGTTCTTCCCATGTCATTGTGGAGTTTACACCATAGGTGTGAATGGCAAAGGTGTACATTTGTGTACAGACAATTGGGACATGTCCCTACCAATATTGTAGGAGTACCATGTGTGTTCAGGGGGTCGGGGCAGATTTGGCCCCTACCAATGATGAAATCATTCCTACGGCCTTCGTGGAAGGTGTGTGTGCCCTGCACAGGGTTAGGCTACCTTGTGCCTGTGGTTTCCGGTATACGCTATGAATAATGAGACATCAGAAAAAGCAATGCTTCAACTTAATTTTACGTGAATTATAATTTAAATACATTGACCGAAATGCTTCATCCACTTTTCTCATTTACAGTGTATCATTTACAAAGATCACAAATCTGTTACATTAAATTAATGTGAAAAATATAAAGCTGAAAAGGAAAGCAATGGACATAAATTATTTTTTATTACTATATTAATAATGTATATATGTGTGTACATACACACACACAGGCTATTTGTTTTTTCTCCTCTGAGCAAAGTATCTCAAAGTGAAAAGAAGTAATAAGTGAATTAACAAGTTTGTAATAGGTTAACAAAGTCCACAAAGGACCACTCTACGGTCTGGAGACAGGCACAGCCTGTTGTTTTCTGACACTGCATTTTGTGTCCCGTCTCCTTTGACTTGTCTGTGCCTTTAACACTGATAAGCGGCACAGCTCCCTTCTTGACGTCAGGATTCAATGCAAAAGTGTGGGTGTACGTATGTGACAGTATGTGACAGCTCATAAAATATGAGCTGCCGTTTGCAGTCATACGTAAAAAAAAATATATATTAAAAAATGTTGGGGAAGAGCCAAAACTTGCTAAAGTCTATTCTTTTACCAAACGGAAATAGAATTGATTTCCTTATCCCAGTGTGAAATGAGTATTTATGCTCCAGGTCAGTAGAGCGTCAAATTACACATTTTTATATATTGGTGGAAACTATAAAAATGTAGTAAAACTGGCGTTTATACTTGAGTTCTGGCAGAAAATCATCATTAGTAGATGACCTGGACTTAGACTTTAGATTTTATTTTTTTATTTTGTCAAACTGCCCCAAACTTACCTATAGTATAGAATTGCCAGATATACATATGCAATAATATTATTTTTAATGGGGCACTTGTTCACAAGTGGCAGCCTAAGTCGAGTTCTTACTTGCAACACATTTTGAATACTCCTTTACATGAATGTTACAATACACTTTCAGACAAATGTTAGTCCTTTTTTTCTAAGTAACAATCGTATAGCAGCTGCTTCTGGAGAGTAATTTAAATGGCCACATCTATAGCAACTGTTTCCTAATCAGACCACCAAGCTAGAATGCTTCATTCAATTTAAACCTAATCAGTTGTTTACTCAATGTTTACTAATTTTTTTTAAAAAGTAAGCATGCATTCTTTTCATAATACATATTTGTATAATGTTCAAGCAATATTCAAGGGGTCTCCAACATCTCAGCTTTGTGATAATCTCCAATAATTAATAAAAAATTATGTTTTGTAAGGGTGTATTTAAGTACGGCTAGCTTTACGTATTTGAAAATTAAACGATTCAGGAGCAGTTCCATTGCAGGTAGCTATTTAAAAACTGGAGATATCAGAGTAGAGAAAATAAAAACATGGACTATAAAGTGAATTTCTTCTCACACAGTCCAGGCTCCAACATTTTGACACATATTGATCAGTTTTAGTATCTCTTTTAGTTTTTTTTTACACAGTACTTTGAATTAACTATTATTAAACGTGCTATATAAATATCCTGAAATAGCCCCTGAAATGAAAATAAAAACAATAATCTTATGAAAAAAAAACATTTATTACAAACTGCAACAATAAACAGCTCAAACAGAAAGAATATAACGAACAACAAAAGACAGTGGTTTGATCCAGGAAACGCTGAAGGATTTTGCCCGTTCTTGATGCCGGTACCTTCCCTTCTACAGGATGGCCTTTCCAACTCAATGAGCGTGAGGTATCAGAGGTGTGTCGTTTTTAATCTCATCCTCATACAAGTTTTTCTTCCAAACCCAAACAAGTTGGTACCATCATACCCCTCAAGTTAGCAATTGTTTTTTTTTTTTTTTTAAATAAACATTTAACTGCTCAAGGAAAAACCAACCACTTAACAAAGGGTCAGGCATCAAGTTATTTTGGAACGTTTCAAAACAGTAAGTGAAAATAAAAGCAAAATTACACTAAACATCACCATACTAACTCTGTCATCTAGTTAAAACATGGCATGTAAAGGCATTGACTGTTTCTAGCCTGATGAAGACAAGTACCATGGTTAGACCTGTTACTCATACTGTACTATAAAATGTTTCATGTTACTGACACAGAATAAACAGTACCTAAAAAACAATGTGTTAATCAGTCACTTGAGTAAGTGCATCATTAACCGTTTGCTGATTTCACAATGATTTTCTTGTAGTCCTGAAAAAATGTACCCTTCAGTTTACTTCTGTTTCATTGCTTTAATATTAATAATTTTCTGCCACTACAACTCACATAAATATGAATAGTAATTGATCAACATTTGCCGTTTTATACCTCTCAAAAGAAATCTGACAAAAATTAGTTTTCTTTACACCTGAATCCAGTCGTATAAAGGAAAGCTATTCATTTATGCACAATGACTAATTTTGATGTCAGTAGTTAGATGAAACATGGAATACATCTACGTAGCTGTGCCGTGAAAAGTCTTAGAAGTTAAACAATCAACTAACAGAAGACCTGAATGAAACTACAGTTCTTTAAAGACGCAATGGCACTTACACTATTTGCTTTCTAATCAACTCAAACCTCTAATGAGGCACTTCAAGCATTTGAGATAAAGAGAAAGAAAGTGTCCACCTTAAATCAAAAGCACATCCGGGTGCCGTTACAATCCCAATGTGCCGCCTTGCCAGGCACTACAGCGCCTTCACAGTGACCCCCCCCCCCAGAAACCGGCAAGGCCAATTCTACCAAGGCTTGCTAACTGTAAAAAGTCAAACTAGTTTTTTACTAAACAATAAAGACGGTATCTGGCACAGGTGAGCAGGCAGTTGAGAGAAATCCAGACCAGGCCTGGAGGTATTAATCTGCTAGTTTTGCTTTCTGATTATCTCTCCTGCACGTGGGCACAAGGCCTGGTTCAAACCCCAGACCAAAAAGAATTCAGCATTTTTTAATTGCCCTTTACTGTCTTCAGTTTTTATGATCAGCCCCTACTGTAAGCGTCCTTCTGATGTAAGAACACGTGACATAAGACTTTGATCACAGCTATAAAAACAGCATATGCCTACTACAAAATGATCTTGTAAAATATTAATACATTTATGGGCAATTTATTTCACACCCGCTGATCATATTGAAACATATTGCAGAATATTTAAATTCACTTCTTTTCTTGTAAGAAGCTAATGGCACGAATATAAAAGCACGGCTGATTGTGTTTAATGAGAAATGATTTCACATCCTTTGTAAAACCGGGTACAGTACCTCAATGGGATTTTAAAGTCCTATTCTATCATTATAATGGCTTAAACATGTCACAGCAGTGTGGGACTTTTGGTGGTCCGTGTCATGGAAGGGAAGTGTTTGCTGTCCACATCCCACAGCTTCCTGTCTCCCTGGAGTTCATGAGAGGAGCAGTAACCTGGCAACAGGGGTGCACTGGGGGGCACAGTGGAAGTC